AGAGAGAGAGAGAGAGAGAGAGAGAGAGAGAGAGAGAGAGAGAGAGAAAGCCAGCCAGCCAGCCAGAGACAGACAGAGAGACAGAGAGACAGAGACAGACAGACACAGAGAGACAGAGACAGATGGAGAGAGTTCATAGGTAACTGCACTGAGAGAGAGGGGAGGGAATGTATCTAGTGGCTAAGACCCAGGTCCTGAACCCTCCACTCTAACCTTCCCTACTGTGGGCCACTCAGGTGTCCCATCCCTTTCCCTGGGCTGAGGGCTCTGGCCTGGGTGACACAGGGCCCCTGCGCCGACTTCCTCCATCCCGCTGTGGTGCCCTCAGCTCCTGGAGGAGACCCCAGCCTGGCACTGCTGCGCTCCAGTCTTCTAACCACCCAGCCACTAAGGAGGTGCCTTAGCCCTGGAACCAGGAGCCCCAGGGCAAGTGGTCTGGAAGCCCTACACTGAATGGATAGGTCCCCAGCACTGTGCTGGCCTTGACCTACCCCTGGCCACACACTCGTCCCTCAAGGCTCTGCTGGCATCGGCTCTACTGTACTCTGGGACCTGGCTGAGAGTCTGAGGCTGGTGTCCAGGCCAGCCCCGCCCTCCTGAAGCTCCCATTTTCCCCTGCATGTCGCACTCCAGGGCCACGTGAGGGAGGGTGACACACACTGCCCTAGGAATAATTCTGTTGGAGACCCTGAGCGGCTTCTTTTTTGGAACTGCTGAACTGAATCCAGTGCCTGTGAGCTGACCCACATCCCCAGCCCATTTGTTTTTGATTTTGAAATGGAGCTGCTAATGCAAGCTTAACTCGAAATTGGACGCTCAGCCCTCAGCCTCCCACAGTGCTGGGAGGACAGGCAAGCGCCACCATGCCCAGCTGCAGGAACCCAAGCTCCTTAGCCCAAGAGCCCGGAAGAAAGTACCAGCTCTCTGACTGTGTCCCGGGGACCTGAAGTCCGTGGCGGGGAGGCTCATTCTGCTCACATGTGACACAAAGCCAGGTGGACACAGCTCAAGGGCAGAGCCCTGGACAAGTAGTGCCAGGCCCTGGGTGCTGTCCCTTCCCACAGCACTGAAGCAGGGAACAACGATGAGGTGGCGTCCTCCTAGGCTGGGCAGAAGGGGAGCAGAGTGTCCATGGGAAGCCCTGGCTTTGAGTCACAGCCTACAGAAACTCAGCCAGGGGTGTGGGGCTGTGTTCTCTGCTTGCCTGGAGCCCCTGAGGGAGGAGACATGGCCTGCACTTTGAGTGGATCAATGATCAAGGAAAGGAGTGAACAGAGCGGCCAGGATTACCTCCATGAGCCCCCTCAATTGGTCCCCGGGAGGCCCATCCCCCAGGACACCCTGCTCTGAGGCTGAGCCAGGCTGAATCTGTCTGATGGGGAAGGGGCCCCCATCATGCCCCTGCCCAGCACCCCACTGTGAATGGAGAACTCAGAAAAGAGGATCTGCGGGGACCCTGAGTTTCCTGAGGCTCCTCCCTGTGGCCCTCACAGGCTTCCACTCTGAGCTGTGTTGGCAGGCGCGAGGGACCAAGGCCACAGCTTCCAGACCTGGCCTCTTCTCCCAGCCAGCATGATGCTGCAGGCCTTGCTGCTGCCCCTGCTCTGGGCGGGTGAGTGTGGGGAGCACAGAGGCTCCCAGCTACAGGCTGGGGCTGCAGTTGAGCCTCTGTGTCCCCTCAGGGTCCCTGCAGGAGGAACCAAGCTACTGGCTGCAGGTGCAAGACTCGGTGACGGTGCAGCAGAACCTGTGTGCCCTGGTGCCCTGCTCCTTCTCCTACCCCCAGGACGGCTGGAACAACTCTACCCCCGCTTATGGCTACTGGTACCGGCAGAACAAGACTCACAAATTTGATCACAAAGCAGATGCACTTGTGGCCACAAACAACCCAGACAAGAATGTTGGAGTGAGAACCAAACCACGTTTCCAGCTTCTTGGGGACGCCAGGCATGGCAACTGTTCCCTGAAGATCACAGAAGCCCACACGGGGGACAGTGGACTTTACTATTTTCGTGTGGAGAGAGGATCAATGAAATATAATTACGTGAATCGGGTGCTTAGAGTGACTGTGACAGGTAAGGAACTGGAGAGGGTCATGGGAGTCCTCAGGGACAACTATGGTTCCACATCCTGCATGAAAATCTCAGGGGCATGTGTGACACCTGGGATGGAGGTGTCTGTCTCAGAGACACACTGGGGCCTCTCTGGGGACTATCCGTCTTTTCTTCTCTCCAGAACTGACACAGACCCCGGACATCTACATCCCGGAGCCCCTGGTATCTGGCCACCCCAGTCAACTGGTCTGTTCCATGGCCCACACCTGCAGTGGGGACACAGCCCCCAGATTCTCCTGGCACGGAGCTGCCTTGAGGCCCCCAGGATCAGGCTTGGGGGTTCACAGCCCCTCCCAGATCCTGCTCATACCGTACCCTCAGGACCACAACACCTTGCTCACCTGCCAGGTGACTTTTCCCACAACTGGCCTGACCAAGGAGAGGACTGTCCAGCTCAGCGTGTCCTGTGAGTGCTGACACAGAATCCTGGGGCTTCTGGGAGCAGATGGGATGGCGCCATGTCTGGGACCTCTAATTCACAGACTGAGCCCTGGACCCAAGGTGATGGGGAGGGAGGTGGGCCTTGGAGGCTGTTGGGTCACAGGCCTGTGGCTCTCGTGCGTGGGCCTAGTTCTCCTGCACCTGGGGCCAGAGAGACAGAAATGTGATGGGACAGAAAGTGCCATCGGTGAGGGAGGACACAGCCTCACCCGTCACCTCACTCCCTGTGCCCTCAACTTGAACGTGCAGCCTCCAGGACTGGAGAGATCAGTTTTATGAGTTTCTGCCTGTGGTGTCTGAGCCTGGGTTTAGGAGGCCACAGAGCCCGGGGACCCCCAGGGACCTCAGCCTGTACTGTTCTTCCTGTTCTGTGTGTGGAGCTCCTGGGTTCTGGGTCTGAGGTGAGGAAGATGGGCCAGCCGCACACCCCGCCCTCCTCGTGCCTCTCCTTCCAGATCCTCCTCAGAACCTGACCATCAGTGTCACCAGCGCCAATGGCACAGGTAGGTGGCGGGTCCCTTCCCCGGGCTGGGCAGGAGCAGCTCTCAGGCAGCAGAAAGCAGGCCGTGTAGACGTTAGGGCAGAACTGGTGTGGTGCTCGTGGGCAGGCGTCTCTGACTGCTGATGGTGTCAGGGCTGTTTGTCCAGCACGTGGACAGAAGGAATGGCCCCACAGCAGCCCCTGGCCCTTGGCAGGCGGGAGGGTAAGAGAGGAACCTGGGTCCCCCAGAGCCGCGCTAGCGCCCCTTCTGCTCTTTCCTGCCTCGCCTGCTGAAAGCCGGGCTGTGCTGTCCCTCTCATCCCTGTCCTTTCCATCAGTTCTAACAAACGTGTCTGAGTGTCCCTGATGTGGACCCTGTTCTCTGTCGGGGTTTATGTAAGCAGAACAGAAACGTCTGTGCTCCTACTTCACTCTCTATGTACTCATGTAGACTCAGATTATACTCCGAGAAATTGTAGTCCTAAAAATGAGCCGCTTTATCCAGTTCTATACTGAAAGGGCCCAACAGACTCCAATGAGACTTTCAGAGCTGGTCAGTTCAGTAGTTCAGTGGGACCTAAAATCAACATTAACAATCAAACGATTTCCATTGTGTCAGTAATGGAGAACCTAAGAAAGCACCTGGAGGAACAAGGTTATTCACATTAGCTGGAATAACATTGGACTACTTGAGAATCATCCCAAGCACGGATGAAAAAGACCCCACGATGGAAATTTCAGGGCACTCGAGAAAGAAACTGGAGAAGTGGGCAGAAACTGAAAGATGCCCTGCGCTTGGGAACTAGCACAGTTAGTACTGCTCGGCGGCGACGTCAGCACAGGGACCTGGACATTCCATGCGGTCTCCAGCCAAACAGCAGTGAGAGTCTTTATAGCATGAGAAAGAAACAATCAGATCATTGATAGGAAGCAGAAGGGACCCAGAGTAGGGAGCATAATTCTAAAGGAAATGAACAGTGTAGGAGGCAACACAATATCTAATCTTAAACTATACTGCAAAACTGTAATGCCTGCTCAGAAAAGGAGCAAGTGCACTGAGCAGAGAATTCCCAAAAGGAGAGACGCAGAGGCCAGTCAACACATGAGGAAACAGTCAAGCTCCGCAGCCTCTAGGAAAATGCAAGCACAAGTGGCAGGCACACGGGCTTCCTCTGGCACGGGGCAAGGTCGCGCCGTCCAAATTGACCTTCACTGGTGTCAACACATCTGGCCAAGAGCCTGGGATCAGCTTCCCATCTGGCTGCTGGCTTCCCCACGTGGACAGCCCCACAATTAAAATGACAAATGCTGGCAAGGACTTGCGAGGAAAGGAGACTCTGCTAACGAGAATGGAACCAGTGTAGTCACGGTGCAATTCAGTGTGGAGGGTCCTCCAAAGCTAAAAATGCAGCTATCCTGTGACCCAGTGATGCCACTTCCTGGATACACCTAAAGAACTAAAGCCAGCAGGTTATCAGGACACTTGAGCACAATGCTGACTGCAGCCCAACTCACGGCAGCCAATTTAGGGAGCCAGTGTAGGCGCCCCCTGACAGATGGGTGAGCAAAGAAAGTGTGGTATGTGCAGACAACGGAGTATTAGTCAGCTGTGAAGAAGAACGAAATATGGGCCCTGGCAGAAATGGATGGCTCTGGAGAGCATCATTGTGTTGAGTGAAA